TCCTCAGTGCCATTAGTACAATGTCAGTGTTTTGGTTTTTTTGTACTGATCACTGTATTGGTGTCACTGGGGAAGACAGTGACCCCAAGTCAGTTCCCCCCCAGTGTCAGAATGTCCGCCGCAGTCCTGCCATAAGTCACTGATTGCCGCCATAAGTCGCTGATCGCCACTATTAGTATATAAAAAAAAAAATTCAGTATCTATACTGCCATTTGTAAACACTATAACTTTCACGTAACCCAATTAATTTACACGTATTGGGATTTTTTTTTAGCAAAGACATGTCGCAGAATACATTTTGGCCAAAATTTATGACGACATTTGATTTTTATTTAATTTTTTTACTGAACATGTTTTATAGCAAATAGTCCAAAATTTAGTTTTTTTTCTCAAAATTGTTGGGCTTTTTTTTTTATAGCGCAAAAAATAAAAACCGCACAGGCGATCAAAAACCATCAAAAAAATCACATATATTAAATAAATATATAGATATATATAAAAAAAAATAAAAAAAAAAACCACACCCCTCCCAGATAGCGTCAGATTGCCCGCCAAAAAACAACCAATAATCACATTTAACCCCTTGATTGCCAGGAAGACGCTTATACACAATAAACCTCCATTGCTAGTAGAGTGTCTGAACGGAAAATATGTTTGATCAGATCAGCACTATACCAGAATTCACATTAGTATAGCGTCCCCAAAAATGCAGCGTTAGGGTGATCAGCCTGCCAACACCTGCGTTTAGCCTCTACCCCCCCCTTCTCCCCCAGTAAGTGCAGTGTCAGTAGGTCACTGTCACTTGATACATTGTACACAAAACCGCAGTGTTGGCAGAATCAGGCCTGATCTCTGTTAGCACTTGCCGGTAAATTTTGATGACTCTCATATGCAGCAGAGTGCCAGTACTAGTGCCGTTCTAAAACCTTTTGGTGAACTGGCAAGCACCAGCGGTCTAGTACATCTTGGTCTTTCACATACCTCTTAGATTGTAAGTTCCCAGGATCAGGCCCTCCTAACCCTCTTGTATTGAACTGTATTGTTGCTGTATTGTCTCCCGTTATATTGTAAAGCACTGAGCAAACTGTTGGCACTATTATAAAGTCCTGTATAATAATGATACCAGTACTGCAGTATGACCTGGCGACATGGCAAGTCCCATAAGTGCAGTACAAGCTGGTGCAGTGATGAGCACAAGTATTGTCCTGCAACCACCAAGAATTCGCACACAGGCCCGTTGAGCTCCTAGTATCCTTACGATTGGCAACCCACAAATTCTGCAGCACCCATACTTCCCCCATTCACTGCCCAACCCCGGAATTCAGGTGGAAATAGCAAATTTAACTGCTCCCCTTGATTTTTTGGAGCTGTTTTTCACAGAAGATCTGTATGCATTGATTGTGGATCAAACCATTTTATATGCACAACAATGTATTGCCGCCAACCAAAATTCAAACCTTGCCTGACCATTCGCATGGAAACCCAGTACGGTTTTTGAATTTATATTTTTTTTGGGGGGCCTAACCCTCAACATGGGCATTACTAAAAAAAATGAATTGCGGTTGCATTGGTCCACAGACCCGATTCATCATATGCCATTTTCTATGCTGCCATGTCCAGGCACAGATATGAGAGTATAACGTGTTTTATGCATTTCAACGACAATACACTCTGTTGTCCTCGAGGTGACCCTGAATTTGACCGGCTGCACAAAATTCAGCCCCTCGTAAATCACCTTAACCAAACATTTGCAGATGTCTATACTCCCCAGCAAAACATCTGCGTTGATGAGTCCCTTATTAATTTTTTCTGGCAGCCTTTTATTCAAACAATTTCTCCCCAGCAAGCGAGCCAGATATGAGGTCAAGATGTAGAAGACCTGTGAGAGGACAACAGGCTATACTTATAAGTTTTGGATTCACAAGGGAATAAATAGTTACGTGGGGCCCCATGCCCAGACTACATGGGGAGCAGTGGCAAGAAAGTTTGGGACTTGGTTTTATCCTTTTTCCATATAGGGTATCACTTATACGTGGGCAATTTTTATACAAGCGCGACACTATTTAGACATTTGTACAATCTTGGAACTGGTGCATGTGGCAAAGTGTGACCTAATGTGTGCCCGCCATTAGAAGTGAGTGGATGCAGGGCAGTATATTTTAACTGCTTCCATACAGGGCACTTTTACCCCCTTCCTGCCTGGGCCAATTTTCAGGTTTCGGCACTCGCACTTTGAATGACAATTGCAGGGTCATACAACATTGTACCCAAACTAAAATTTTATAATTTTCTTCACTCAACTAGAGCTTTCTTTTGGTGGTATTTAATCACTGCTGGGGTTTTTTTTTTTTTTGCTAAACTAACAAAAAAAGACCAAAAAGCTTGAAAAAAAAAAAACAGGTTTTTCTTTGTTTCTGTTATAAAAGTTTGCAAATAAATACAGTTGTGTTTCAAAATAATAGCAGTCAGACATCACTAACCTGATCAATCACTGTTTTTGGTAGAAATGATATTTCCGCATGGCAAATAATTTACTAACAGGTTTATTAGAGTAATAGAAATCCAACAGACCCAACAGTCATGACATGCATGCTGCTGATTCTGTGTAATTGAATCACTAATTGAAAGGGGCATGTTCAAAATAATAGCAGTGTGGCGTTCTATTAGTGAGGTCATTCATTCTTTGAAAAACAGGTGGCAATTATTGCCCTTATTTAAGGAAGGAAGGCAGAAAATGTTGTACATGCTGGTTACAACACATTTCTCTCTGAAATTCTGAGGAAAATGGGTCGTTCCAGACATTGTTCAGAAGAACAGCGTACCTTGACTAAAAAGTTGATTGGAGAGGGGAAAACATATAAAGAAGTGCAGAAAGATGATAGGCTGCTCAGCTAAAATGATCGCAAATATTTTAAAATGGCAACCAAAACCTGAAATACGTGGAAGAAAAAAAAATACCATTCAAATGGATAGAAGAATAGCCAAAATGGCAAGGACTCAGCCAACAATCAGCTCCAGGAAGATCAAAGAAGATCTAAAGTTACCTGTGAGTACTGTTACAATTAGAAGACACCTATGTGAAGCCAAGCTATCTGCAAGAAGCCCCCGCAAAGTCCCACTGTTGAAAAAAAGACATGTGCTGAAGAGGTTACAATTTGTCAAAGAGCACATTGACTGGCCTAAAGAGAAATGGCGCAACATTTTGTGGACTGATGAAAGTAAGACTGTTCTTTTTGGGTCTAGTGGCCAGAGACAGTTTGTCAGACGACCCCCCAAACACTGAATTCAAGACACAGTACACTGTGAAGACAGTGAAGCATGGTTGCGCAAGCATCATGATATGGGGATGTTTCTCATACTACGGTTTGCTGGGCCTATTTATCGCATACGAGGGATCATGGATCAGTTTGAATACATCAGAATACTTGAAGAGGTCATGCTGCCTTATGCTGAAGAGGAAATGCCCTTGAAATGGGTGTTCCAACAAGACAATGACCCCAAACACACTAGTAAACGTGCAACATCTTGGTTCCAGACCAACAAGATTGACGTTATGGAGTGGCCAGCCCAATCCCCGGATCTTAATCCAATATAAAAACTTGTGGGGTGACATCAAAACTTCTCTATTTCTTGGTTTTTGCCTCAGAAATGTAATAACTGTGGAATGTAGTCCAATCATCCTGGGCTGGAATACCTGTTCACAGGTGCCAGAAGTTGGTTGACTCCATGCAACACAGATGTACAGCACTTCTCAGAAACAGTGGTTTTACAACTAAATATTAATTGATTAAAAGGAAAGCAAAATCTTCAAAAACATTTTTCAGTTTATATAGTGAATGTTTGAGTTTGTAAAGAAGAAATATGCTTGAGGTGATTGTAGCAGTATTAGTGCATTTGTGACAGAAACAATTGAGTACTGTCCATGATACTTTTTTTATTTGCACTAACATACAATTTTGAGGACAAGCTTTTGTGGTATGTCCCCTTCTGTCCCCAAGGTCCAAGCAGTACTATACAAATCACAAAGTTTCAGCAGAACTTATACTGTAAATGCAATTCCGGATCATCCAGAAATCGGGTACTTCTACATGCTGCCCAAAGTCCACAAGCCAGGAAATCCAGGCAGACCCATCATAACAGGTATGAATACACTCACTGAACAAATCTCAGGCTTTGTAGAAAAAATTTTAAAACTGTTAGTCATGAATACTGCTAGTTTCCTGCAAGACAAAACTGACTTTCTGAACAAGATCAACAACATACAGCAATTACCATCTAATACACTTCTAGTGACTATGGATGTAGTATCCCTGTATAGTAATATCCCTCACAAAGATGGATTAGTTGCATGTCACAGATCCTATCATCCTCACTAGAGATGAGCGAAGTATTCAAAAATTCGATTCGACTGATTCGGCGGCCGAATTCGTAGAAAAAATTCGATTCGAGTCGAATATATTCGCTGTGAATTTAACTTAAAAAAGGGTGTTTCTAGGCTTCAGAGAGACTTAATATTAGTGCTGAACACTGTACCTTTAATTTAAATGCCCTTGGAGTCTGCTGGGGAAGAGAAATAATACTGTCAGGCAGTATGACATGCAGATGAGTGCCGTCGATCTTAGAATCACCGCACACTTCACTCATTTGGCCAGTCACGGGGCCAAAAACCAGAGTGTGGAGCCACAGTGTGGCGGTGGAGAGGCAGCAGCAATGGGAGGCCATGCAGCACCCTATGACAAAAATGGAAACCACCAGCAGTGTGAGGAGACCTGAAAGTGGCACATGGCAGAGTGTGGCGATAGAGACAGCAGCAATGGGAGGCCGTACAGGGACCCATGACACACTCTGGACCTGGCAGCAGCATGAGGAGGCGGTACAGGGGCCCATGGCAGATTACGGGCCTGGCAGCAGCATGAGGAGTCGGTAGGGGGGGCCCATGGCAGATTAGGGGCCTGGCAGCAGCTATGGGAGGCCCGTAATCTGCCAGCACCCTATGACAAAAAAATGGAATACACCAGCAGTGTGAGGAGACCTGAAAGTGGCACATGGCAGAGTGTGGCGATGGAGACAGCAGCAATGGGAGGCCGTACAGGGACCCATGAGAGACTCTGGACTTGGCAGCAGCATGAGGAGGCGGGAGAGCTATAGGGGGCCCATGGCAGATTAGGGGCCTGGCAGCAGCTATGGGAGGCCCGTAGGCCGTAATCTGCCAGCACCCTATGACAAAAAATGGAAACACACCAGCAGTGTGAGGAGACCTGAAAGTGGCACATGTTTGGGGCATGATTCATGGCGGATTTAGTCAGTTGTGTCAGGAACTGGTGGTTTGAAATCCAGACTAATCCACGCCTGATTCATTTTCACAAACGTCAGTCTCTCCACACTTTGGGTGGACAGTCGTGTCCTCCGCGGAGTTGCAATACCTCCTGCCGCACTAAACACGCGCTCCGATGCCACGCTACTGGCCGGGCATGACAGCCTTTCAAGGGCAAATTCAGCTAGTTGGGGCCAAAGGTCAAGTTTCGTTGCCCAGTAGTCAAGGGGATTGTCTACCTCGGTTGGCAGGGTGCTGTCCAAGTAGGCCTAAGCCTGTTGTTTGAGGTCCTGCTCCAGGTCCACCTGATGCTGCTGCTGCTGCTGCTGCGGCTGGTTAGTAGTTTCCTCACTGCGCTGGTGAAGAAAGCTACTCATCATCGACTGCAGACTGAGGCAGCCGCTGCTGGTGGAGCTGCCATGCTGCTCCTACCACCCCACCCCTCCCCTGCTGCCATGGCAGCGGAAGACGCGAGCGAGCGCACAGGGCCCACAGTGTCTGAGGATGGACGTTGGCACAGACAGGCAGAGACCAGCAGCTGACTACATAGGTGGTTTTTTTATAGTACGTTATTTTGGCCTCCCTCTCAGCAGGTGTGAAAAAGGCCACCATTTTTGAACGGTAGCGAGGGTCCAACAAGGTGGACAGCCAAAAGTCATCCCTCTGTCTGATGGTTATTATTCGGCTGTCGCTACGCAAGCAAATTGCGAGCATGCTATGGGCCATTTGTGCCAAGGAATGCGAGGGACTCCCTGCCTCCATCTCCACAGCATACTGCCACGGTGCGTCTGGGTCCTCTGTCTCCTCTCCTCCTCCTCCTCCTCTACCAGATGCTCCTGCTCCTCCACTCCTGTCCGCTGAGTGGAAAAACCACCCATTTCACTCAATAATTCCTGAGCACCAATGTCCTCCTCTACCTCCTCCTCTTCTTCCTGTCCTGCCCCCACAGGGGTCATGTGGCGTTGAGATCTGTGCGCCACGTCTACCGCACCCTGACCAGCCATTGTTAACAGCATTTGTTCCAGGACGTGCAACAGAGGAATGACGTCGTTCATCCCATAGTCCTGCCGACTCACGAATAGCGTGGCCTCCTCAAAGGGCCTGAGCAAGCGCAGGTGTCACGCATGAGCTGCCAATGGCTGACATCTAAGTTACACAGGGAATACCTTTATCCGCTTTTAACATCAGGAAATCTGTGATGGCCTTTTGCTGTTCGTAAAGGCGGTCTAACATATGTAGGGTTGAATTCCACCTTGTTGCAACGTTCACAGCATGAGGAGTCGGTATAGGGGCCCATGGCAGATTAGGGGCCTGGCAGCAGCTATGGGAGGCCCGTAATCTGCCAAAAGCACCCTATGTCAAAAAAATATTCTACACACCAGCAGTGTGTGAGGAGACCTGAAAGTGGCACATGGCAGAGTGTGGCGATGGATAGAGACAGCAGCAATGGGAGGCCGTACAGGGACCCATGAGAGAGGTACTCTGGACCCTGGCCGAGCAGCATGAGGAGGCGGTATATAGGGGCCTATGGCAGATTAGGTGGGTACCTTGGCAGCAGCTATAGGAAGGCCCCGTATACATCTGCCAGCACCCTTATGTCAAAAAATATTTCTAACACACCAGCAGTGTGAGGAGACCTGAAAAATCGTGGCACAGCCCACCCTTTCATTGTGGCATGGTAGACAGCTGGGAGGCCATTTTTTTGTACAGGGACCCATGACATGACTCTGGCAGCAGCATGAGGAGGCGGTATTGTTATAGGGGCCTATGGCAGATTAGGGGCCTGGCAGCAGCTATAGGGAGGCCCGTAATCTGCCAGCACCCTATGTCAAAAAATTCAACACACCAGCAGTTGTGTGAGGAGACCTGAAAGTGGCACATGGCAGAGTGTGGCGATGGAGGAGACAGCAGCTACAATGGGAGGACCGGTACTCTACCAGGACCCATGACAGACTCTGGACCTGGCAGCAGCTAGGCGGTTATGGGGACTTGTGCGGTGATTGGGGTATTTATAGGGGGAGGCCTATGGCAGATTAGGGGGACCTGGCAGCAGCTATTCGGGAAAGGAGGCCTGTAATCTGCCAGCACCTATGTTCAAAAAATTCTACACAACACCAGCAGTGTGTGAGAGACCCTGAAAGTGGCACATGGCAGAGTGTGGCGATGGAGAGACAGCAGCAATGGGAGGCCGTACAGGGACCCTTGAGCAAGACTCTGGACCCTTGGCAGCTTGCATGCAGGGATGCCGCCGGGGTATAAAGCGGTGACCCATGGCAGATTAGGGGTCCTTCTTGGTTTAGCAGC